TGCTAGAAGAATCTCGTTGACAATGGGATCAGTACATGACAGAGGAAAGAGTGGAGGTAGCTCACAGCTGAAATGGGGGATGATGTTGGACTCACAGAAATGTAACTTGTGGATGAAGAGACTATTCATCAAGGAAATCAGAAATCCCATTGTCCAAGCTATGCTCACAATCAAAATACAGAGAGGTCTGTTTATGACCATGGTGTAGACGAGAGGGTGGCAGATGGCAGCATAGCGGTCATAGGCCATGGCAGAGAGCAGACAAGCTTCTGTTCCCCCAGAGAGAGTGAAAAAGAAACTCTGAGTGATGCATCCCCACACCGAGATGCTTTTCTTCTGAGATAGGAAGTTCTGTAGCATTTTGGGCACAGTGACTGAGGAGAAACTGAGATCCAGGAAGGATAGGTGTCCAAGGAAGAAGTACATGGGGGTGTGGAGGTGAGAATCAACCCTGATCACCAGGATCATCACCAGATTACCCATCAAAGTCAGAAGGTAAATCCCCAGGAACAGCACAAAGAGCATGGTCTGGATCTGGGGGTCACTAGACAATCCCAGAAGGACAAACTCAGTAATTATACTGATATTTTTCATGGTTGCTTAGAGATTCAGTCCCTCAAAAGAAATGAATGACTTTTCCACTTGGTAAGACATCAATCTGAGTCTTTCTCAGTGAACAGGAGTTTCCTACTCACAGACAATATACCTCCTTACCTATAGACCAAAACAGGAAACTCAGGATAAGGAAGTGTCTTCTCAGATACAATCTCTTCACTTGCCCTTCTTTTCTAACTAGTAGCACTATCTTGTCATGATCCCTATACTTTCACCCTACTTCATCACTCTTTTAATAAAAAGACCATGCACATGCAAGTCAGGTATGTCCTGGAGTCAAAAGAAGGGAGAAGAGCCCCAGTGGCTAAACCTGGAAAACCTTTTATGGTTAAAGGCTAGGAGGCCCATGGAAAAGTGATTCCTTCTCAGAATAGTAAGGTCATAGACTCACAGTGAGGGTGGTGTCATAGTGGACTTTAAAGTCTTTATTTTACACATGATGAGAATGAATTGCCTAAGGTCTCATAGCAAAATCATGTTGAGGTAGGTACTAGACCAGATGTTCCAACTAGTCTGGTATGCTCCCAGTGCACAACACTTGGTTTTGAATTAATTGTTACAAGCTGAGTTTTGTGTGGTTTTGGGGTCATAAACAACTTTGCTAGTAGGGAGTTCACCTAAAATATATTTCAATATTCCTTGGCTCTGAAACTTAGACAGTGGCCTCTACAGTTGTGTGTCAGCTGCTATTGAAGTGGAAAAAGAACCAGTCTTAGAGTAGTAACCTTAGTTTGAATCTTAGCTCTAACATTCTAATAGTATCATCTGGTTAAACATTACTCAGTTTCTTTAAGCCTTACTGTATTCATCTATGAAATTGAGCAAATGAAACATAAACTTTTGTAAACCATACAGCTCATAACATGCTGTGCAAAAATCAATTTTTGTATGTATGAACAAAGATTGATATAGAATACTGAAAAATAGAAAAGATGTCTCTATTGGGTAGTAGGCTTATGGGCCTTTTTTCTTTTAAATAGTTTCTCTAATATTGTAAAATTATTTTTCCATTGAATACTTCTCTTTTTTTGTAAAGAAATGACTTGGAGACTTTCAGGAAACTCTCAGGCTAGCTTTGTTTTCTCCAGAGAGGATGGCAAAAAGAAAACTGGACTGAAGTGAGAGAAAAGCCCCAGGGCACAGGAAGCTGAACTCCTAAAGAGAAATGGTTTTGTGGTCTCTTCCCCATCACTGCTGGGCATCCCAGTAGTTTGGTTCTGCTTGGGTACGTGGGACTGAAACTGATGCCCCCTTGAAATCCCTCATACCTAGGATCCCAGAACACTACCAGGGCTGTGTTTTCTAAGTGTGTTGAATGAAATCCTATATATTCTGTTGTAGTGCCTTAGGGGCCACTCTAAGTGTTGAGGGGGTGAGGAATTAGAGGCATCTTTGGGCCCTCACAACCATCTCAATTGCCTCATCTCTTCTTTCATTTGTTTATTTATTTTTTACATAGAAAAGCAATTTATTCCATTATAAGCACTTACACAATTAGTCATGGAGAGTAACAGGCCTGCTGGTGAAACAGGTCACCCAAAATAGAGATGGTACCAAACTGCGGTCAAAGACTAACTCCTAAAAAAAACAACTCTTGCCCAGGATTAATTTAATTTTAAAAACAAATACAAGCTATCAATTTACTCTTCTCAACTCAACTGGACAATCTACCTGTGGTGGTATAACTGTCAGGTAAAAACATACATCTTTACAACTTGGTGGTCCCAAGTTTTTTAAAAAACCATTTCACAGAAAGGAAAGAAATATGAAAACAGCTCAAGAAATACACTAACAAGCAAAAATATATGGGGAAAGAGGAACACATAGTTTTGACTTAACTGAAGAAACTGAGAGGAGACTGGTCTACATAGGAAAATGTGCATCCTGGAAAGTCAGGTGGGAAAAATTTAGAATAGGAATTTATATGACTTGAATCTCCCATTTCCTGAATAAAAATGACATCTTGTGGTATTTATACTTCATGGCTCAGACACCTACCTCACTTGGCTTTACTCCTTCCTTACTTTAGCCTTTACTTAAAGGAGTCTGAAAAACTTGGGGATATAGCCTAAGAAGAAAAATAACCACACATAATATTCCCCTTTCTGTGGCTATTTAGACCTTTGTTACTAGAAAATTCCTAAAGAAAATTTAAATATAAGTCTGTGGCTTTACTGAATCAAGTCCCCCAGTTAATATTTAGAAAACACCCTCTGTTTGGGCTAATAACATTGTTGATGCTACCTATCATAGAGGGATAGCCAAACAAAGTCTGTGTCTCAAAACCAGTGTTAAATCTATCTCAGGGTTGAGAAGGAAAAAAAGGGGAGTCTAAAAATCACAAGAAGTACAGACATCTCTAGGACCCTTGTCCTTCTGGATCCACGCTTCCTTCAGGATCTTCATCATTATAAATGTTCTCTGCCATTTGCCACACTTCCATGATATTGTCTTCTGATACAAAACAAATCACCCAAGGTTCATTGGGATTCCAGGAGAAATCAGATATCTTGGCAGTGTGACCCACCATGAAAAAACAACAATTCTGGTGGCCCATCTTCTGCATCTTCCGGGGATTGTTCCTCTCCAATTTTACTTAAATCCCAGACATTCAGTCTGCGATCAGTACCACTGGAAGCCAAAATAGTCTCATTGTGAGGCAACCACTGAACCTGGAATATTTCATCCTTATGTGATTCAAAGGAATGCAACTTAAGTTTCGGATTTCTCAGATCCCACAAGGCAACAGTCTTGTGGGCTGATCCTGTGGCCAGAATGAACTCACTATAAGGATTGAAAGATAGGCAGTTCACTTCAGCAGTGTGAGCATCAACTGAGTGGCTTGGTTTGGAAGTATTGTTTGAACGAGTGAGTATCCCAGATCATAAGTTTCTGGTCATCAGCAACTGGCCCAAACAGAGACTCATGGAGCAGATGCCAGGAAACATCTTCTACTACCGCTGTATGTCCTGTAAAGATGGTCTTCACATCCACCACTTTTCCTTCCTTTGGAACAGCACTGATGTCCCAGAGGCAGATGGTTTGGTTGTCTGAAGCACTAAGTAAGTGCCACTGAGATTTGGGTTCCAAGAAAGTCCATAGCCTTCCTTCTGATGTTCACACAGATGCAAGTCTGGGTTGCACTCTCCAGAAGGGTCTGGTTTGGAAGGGTGTTTTGTATGGTCAAAAACAAGAACATCACTGGATGGAGTCTTTGTTGCAATGATGCAAGGGTTCTGGGGCATATAATGCGCCTGGTTTACTTCTCCTTCATGGTTGATCTTGATTTCTATTTCATTTTTTCCACTAACTGAGCCAAAACTTCCAAATTCTCCTTTCTCACTGTCATAGTGTAAAGGATCAAACCGAGCATCATTGTTAGGGACCTGCACACTGGCTATCACAACATGGTTTTGTTCATCTGACATGTGTGTTCCCAGGACAAGTTGATGAATGCTGAAGTCTTTCCCTTCTGGTCTGGTTATATCTGGAAGTCACTGTGCAGTCAGGCTAGGCCACTCCAGAGCATGCGTCATCACCAAATCATAGAGAAAAAGGGTGTTCTTTTCCCCTATTTTGTACTCTTCATTGATCATATGTTCTTCTACTGCATCATCAAAGGCTGTTTCCTTGTTGGCCATGGCAGGCAGGTAAGTCAGGAGGATCCCAGTGTCGAGCGTTGCAGGAGGGGTGGGGAGGCTATGGGCCTCTTCTTTCTTTTATTTATCATACTTGATTTGGTAGTAGGATTTCACTGAAGCAAAGGGTTCCATTACGAAAAACTTTTTAAAACACAGAGAACTCGGGATTCAATTGCCAGAGGCACTAAGAATGTCTCTCTCTCTATTCTTCACCCTTTTCATTTTCAATCCCCCAGAGAAATCTCCTTTGTGCTCTTCATCTGGCTTTGTAGCCAGTAATGCATTCCTATTTAAAATAACAGCCTAACTTTGTGTGTGCGTCCAGAACCTGATACATAAAGAAACAGAACAGAACGACCCTACATGGACAAAGAAGACTTCATCTTCCAGCTCAGCTATTATCTGATGAGAAGTAACTATGTCTGACTTTGAGAAAGATACTACCCTAATCTAGGTCCTGTGTTAACTAGAGGGGCTTGGGCCAGAGGTCCCTCTACTAGATCTTTCCCAGTTACATATATCAATGTGCCTCTAAGGCTTTCACCAACCTTACTGAGCAGGACTGCTCTTGGTCTGATGTAACATCTGGTTTTCCAGCCAGGCTGCCTGCCACAGGACACTGTTACTCAAAGGAGATGTAGTTCCAACAGCTTCAGATGAGAGGCCTCAAACCAGGTCCCATGAAAAGTGGACTTTGTTTTCCAGCTAATAATATGAACAGAGATAGATATAGACAGGCAGTGGTTAAAAGCCAAAGTATTCTGGTGTGGGTCTTTCTGGAGGTGGCTCTCTTAAGACTTGGATTTTTCTCTTCTTTTTTCCTTGAGTACTGATGAGAGCTCCTGGCCAGTTTGTGTGACTTGTATTTCTTCTTTCATTAAGTCTCTGAGATCTTGTGCCAGGCGGGCCCTGAGGAGGTGGTGAGAAGAGTCTCTGGAGAGTCAAGAATTGTTCACTGCCCACGGGAAATGCAGCATTAACCACAGTCAAAGGGGCCACTGGTCCTAGGACAAAGTGGCTACTAATATAGCTATTGCCAAAAGGGGTCTGTCTGAGAGTACAGAAGTGCAGAAAGCTCCTAGCCACAAATTGCTTTACTAACTAAAAATCAGGGGATCAGGAGGTTCTGTAAAGGATTTGTCTTGTCTCTAACAGCTCTTGGATTTTGAATGTGAATATGTACACACACACACAAACAGGTCTACACAATTTAAAAGTTCATTACTTCTATGAAGACACTTACTCCTTTCTCAACCCTTGCTTCTCCAGCTTTCAGCTCAGGCTCTTGCCTCCTACTTAACTGAGAAAATGTTCCTTTCTCTAATTTTGTTGTATTGCTCTCTATTGGGCTTCAGCACTGTTATTGCTCAAGTTTTTCCCACTTCAAAATAGAGTGGACAGAATTAGTATCCCTTCCTCCTCCAGAGGGAGTCAGCTTCCCTAGAGCCAGTGCTGTAGCAGGAAAGGACTTACTCTGCTAAGGAAACAGGTGGTGAGTACAGACACAAGTAAAGGTAAAATGAAAACTTTGGCTTACCTCCACAAATTAGAATTTACTCCTCTGTAACAGGGAATGAGAGAAGCCAACTATCTGGAGTATACAAGCAAACATATCAGACTCCAGGCTGGTGGAGCTCCCAAGAACTTCCTTGTCTTTCTTTCTCTTTATAGCCAATTTTTTCTTTTTGAGGGGGGTAGGAGTATACTCTATACTGTAGTCTCCTCCTCATTCACTTCTCAGTACACCATCATCTCTCTTTTTCTGTTACCTCTATTGCCCCCAGGGACAATTTACCTGCTATATTCAGAAGCCCATGAGAGACATAAAGACTGTGGTTGATTGGTGAGCATTGGTGGACTCAGTGAAGGCTTTGCTTTGACCCCCAGAAGACTGGATGCCCAGGATGTTTTGGATTAGGAAAAGAGGCTTAGGGATACTTTATGAGCCCCACAAATGGAAATGACCTCACAAAAATTACCTGTTAAGAGTAAGATCTATATTGGATGGAGGAGGAGTGGAGGCCGCTCAGAGTTGGAGAGGCTAATGGACCTACAGAAGGGGAAGCTGAATGTATCAGCCTAGGCCAAGTTATCCTGTGATAACAAGTGACCCAAAATTTCAGTGGCTAACAACAATAATTCACTTCTGATGCTACATGTCTATTAAGATAGCCGTGGCTTTGTTACTACATAGTCTTTACTTCAGGACCTAGCCTTATGGAGCAGCCTTTATTTTTATTTTTTATTTTTTGGATTTTGTGGTTGTATTTAATATGATTTATAGGATGTTTAAGAAGAAGTACATGAAATCTATGCAACTGTTTGAGAAACAACTGTAAAATCTTGAGGAGTTATGTTTCATATCTTTTTATAAGAATAGCTAAGTTACACTTTCTTTTTTTTAGGTTTATATTTAAATTCCAGTTAGTCAACATAATATCAGTTTCAAGTATACAATATAGTGATTCAACACTTCCATACAACACCTGGTACTCATCACAACTATACTGTTCAAAGCAAGCTACACATTTAATGCAACCTTTATCAAAATACCAACAGCATTTTTCACAGAGCTAAAACAAACAATCCTAAAATTTGTATGGAACCACAAAAGAGACCGAATAGCCAAAGCAAACTTGAAAAAGAAAAGCAAAGCTGGAGGCATCACAATAGTTTATTTTTACTCATTTTCTTTGCCTCAGGAGACATATGTAGAAAGAAGTTGCTATTGCCGCTGTCAAAGAGGTTACTGCCTGTGTTCTCCTCTAGGATTTTTATGGTTTTAGGTCTCACATTTAGGTGTTTAATCCATTTTGAATTTATTTTTGTGTATCGTTTAAGAAAGTGATACAGTTTCATTATTTTGCATATAGTTGTCCTGTTTTCCCAACACCATTTGTTGAAGAGACTTTTTCCCATTAGATATTCTTTCCTGCTTTGTCTAATATTAATTGACCATATAGTTATGGGTTCATTTCTGGGTTTTGTATTCTGTTCTATTGATCTATGTGTCTATTTTTGTGCTAGTACCATACTGTTTTGATCACTTCAGTTTTGTAATATAATTTTAAGTCCAGAATTGTGATGCCTCCAGCTTTCCTTTTCTTTTTCAAGATTGCTTTGTTTATTTGGGGTCTTTCATGGTTCCATATAATTTTTAGGATTTTTTGTTCTAGTTCTGTGAAAAATGCTGTTGGTATTTTGATAGGAATTGCATTAGATGTGTAGACTGCTTTGAGTAGTATAGACATTTTAACAATATTTGTTCTTCCAATCCATAAGAATGAAATGTTTTTCCATTTCTTGTGTCACTTTCAATTTCTTTCATCAATGTTTTATAGTTTTCAGAGTACAGATCTTTCACCTCTTTCGTTAGGTTTATTCTTAGGTATCTTATGATTTTTGGTACCATTATAAAATGGGATTCCTTGATTTCTCTTTCTGCTGCTTCATTATTGGTGTACAGAAATGCAACAGATTTTTGTATGTTGATTTTTTATCTTGCAATTTTACTGAATTAGTTTATCAGTTCTAGCAGTTTTCTGGTGGTCTTTCAGGTTTTCTATATAGAGTACCATGTCATCTGCAAATAGTGAAAGTTTGATTTCTTCCTTGTCGGCTTGGATGCTTTCTTTCTTTTTCTTTTTCTTTCTTTTCTTTTTCTTTCTTTCTTTCTTTCTTTCTTTCTTTCTTCTTTCTTTCTTTTCTTTCTTTCTCAGAATTCAGTTTTATACACACACACACACACACACACACACACACACACATATATATCAGGCATGCCAAAAGGCAATACCACATGATTGGAAAACCAGATCCAGATACTGAAGTGGTCAGATATGGATTCCCATATTACTAATTAAGAAGTTTAAGAAATTTGATGACAAAGTAGGTAGACCTTTTCAGGATAAACTGGAACCTATAAAAAAGAATCATAGGAGAGTTTTAGAAGTGAAAAACAAAACTATCTCACCTTAAGAACTTAATGGATGTGTGTAACAGCATATCAAGCATAACAGAAGTTTCATGAAGATGGGTTAGAAGAAAACATCCAAACTGAAGCACTGAGAAAAATAGGATAAACAACACAGAGAAGAGCATAAAAGGCATGTATGTAATGGTGAAAACATAATGCACAAGTAATTGAAACCACCGGAGAGGGAAGAGAGAACAGGCAAATGCAATATTTGAAGAAAATTATCCCAAACTGACCAAAGCTGCCATCGATCTCCTGAATGAAGAATAGCTCCAAGGTCCAAGCATGATAAAACAAAAAATCCCACAACAAGACATGTCATAATGAAACAGCTGTCAAGGAGAAAAATAATAGAAGAAGCCGGGGTGGGGGGAGGTATATTACCTTCTAATTAGCAATATGAAACTTACAGTTAATTTCTTAATGGAAGCTGAAAGACAAAATCATGTGATCCTTGAAGTGCTGGAAGGAAATAACTGTCAAGAACTCTACAGCCAGTGGGGTGCCTGGGTGGCTCAGCTGGTTAAGCATCCGACTCTTGATCTTGGCTCAGGTCTTGATCTCAGGGTTGTGAGTTCAAGCCCCATGTTGGGCTCCACATTGGGCATGGAGCTTACTTAAAAAAAAAAAAAAGAATTCTATAGTAAAAATGTTCTCTAAAAAGAAATGTTAAGTTAAAAAAAGGTTAAATAAAGATATGTTTAGACCAAAAATATTCCCCCAAAAAACAAAAAAAAATAGAGAATTCATCAGCATATTTAATGAGAGTCCTTCAGGAAAAAGGAAATGATTCGAGTTGGAAACAGAGAAACAAGGAGGAATGAAGATCAACAAGAAAATGTAAATACATGGGTAAATCCAAAAGGATATTGTTTGTATAGAACAATAAAAACAATGTCTTATATGTATAATGTATGTGTATATATAATACATACCAGCCATAGCACAAAAGATAAGTGTGGAAAATAGAGTTAAATGGTTTTAGGGTCTTTGCCCTGTTTAGAAAGTAGCAAAAGTACTGTTTACATTTGACTTTAATAAAACAAAAATGCATGTTGTAATCTCTAGGGCCACCACAATAGTGAAAAAAATAGTGAAATAGTGAAAAAAATGTAAAACAAGTTAGTGGAGGGGAAAAATAGAATAATAATTCTTAGTAAATTCAAAAGAAAGAAGGAAAGGAGAGAAAAAGGAACAGAACAGATGGGACTTAGAAAACAGTCAGATGGTAAATTTAAACCAGAATATATGAATAATTGTATCAAATGTAAATTGACTCAACAGCCCAATTAAAGGTAAAGATTATCATATTGGATTAAAAAACAAAACCCAACTATATGCTACTTATAAGAGACATATCTGAAATATAAAGATACTTAAGGATGACAATAGGATGGAAAATGATATACAAATCAACATTAACCAAAAGAAAGTTTGTGAAACTGTATTAATATCAAAGTAGATTTAAAGCAAAAAAAATTACTGGAGATAAGACACATTTAATAATGATAGAAAAATCAATCCAACAAGAACATAACAATTTAAAATTTTTAAGCACACGTAGATTAGATCACTGTTCAACAAATATCCACTAACCCTCTTTCCCACCACCTCCATGGAGAAATGCACTTCATTCTATTGAAGTTGGGAATGCTATGGCTATGTGAATGGACTGCTTTGGCCAATGGAATGTAAGCACAAGTGGTAGCTGCCAGCTTTGAGCCTAGGCTTTAAGAAGCATTGCATGTTTCTATTCGTCTTTCAGAGAGTTTCTAACCTTCATGATGAGAATAATGACCCTGGGTAGGTATTGCCTACTTAGAATGAGACATGTGGAACAGACTATAGCCAGGAAGTAAGTTCATCCAATCTGCAGACCTCAGCCTAATGCTTAGCTACCTCAATTGATTTGTGTACCTGTAAATGATAAACCTAGTTACTGCTATCACAATAATTTTGTGGTTGTTTCTTATGCAGCAATAGCTGACTGATAGAGCACTTAACAAAGCTTCAACATATATAAAGTAAAAAATTAAACTATAAGAAAATAGACA